GGGGAAAAAATTGTGAGAGAATACAGGCTTCTAGACAGAAGAAACCTACCATACCATACTCTGATGTTCACACATTGATTATTGCTTCCTGCAGCACAAATAATTTTAACAATGTTCCTGTTATGGATGGCGCATCACTTCTTGAAAAACACAAAAAGTCAGTAACAAGCTCACATTTTCACTGTGTGTGTTGATGCAGGTTAAACATAATCAACATGAAGAGTTGCAGAATGTGAGAAATCATATCCAGCACTGTTTCTCCAACATCAACTGCTTCCTGCTGCCACATCCTGGCCTGAAGGTGGCTACTAACCCAAAATTTGACGGCAGGCTGAGAGGTGAGAACAAGGCAACAGTAGTAATGTAGACTAATGGCTAAAGACGTGGTAGGTGCTGGTTGTACGCAAAGCCTGCTCAAAACATTGCAGATTGGTGCCTATATGTTGTAGCTGTGACCTCAGCCAGTTTCAACTCTGCTGTCACTCCCTTTCCTGTTCATGGCAGTTTTTCAACCAGTCACCATTGGATTTATGCATGGCATTGTCCCTGTCAGGCTTAAAACCAGAAACTTGAGAGAGAGAGAGAGAGAAAATTGTTTGAGTGGTATTTCTAACTTCAAAAATGATAGCTGTCCTAACCCTTGCTAATACTGATAAAAAGAGAATTACAACATGTCTTCAGAGTGCCAAGTTTTACTTCTAGGATTATGTTGCCAAAGGTCTTTGGGCTGAAATTACACAACTTTCCATGTTTTAGACATCGATGAAGAGTTCAAAAAAGAGTTGGCCCAGCTCGTGCCTCTTCTTCTGGCGCCGAGTCAGCTGGTAGAGAAAGAGATCGGAGGCAACAAGGTCACCTGCAAAGATCTTCTGGAGTACTTCAAGGTGGTGCAAAATTTTAAATGAATACCAGTGTATGACCAAAATATGACCTATTGTTGTTAAGATAAGATTACATTTAAAAAAAAAAGACAGAGGTCTCAGTGTATACAGGATTACAGCTGCTTGCACAACTGATTCCAGTGCTTTTCATACTGACCTCCTGCACTACAAATACAAAGCTTCAAATTGTACACCCTTCTGCCTTTTTTTGATAAATCACAAAAGCTTGAGAGTGAATAAACGACACAGCTATCCAGAGCTTTTGGTAAACTGTGGTCTCACTGACAAAAGTATTCAGTTCTTTGTCATCAGATTACATTTCTCCAACTTTCCAAAATAAGTGTGCCCAGTCATACTTGCATTAAATTTTATTTAGGGGTTTTTGCAGTATGAAATCATTTTTAAAGATAACATCAGCCTTTTACTTGGAGTACTTGTTAAGTCACCTACCTGCCAGAGTGTTAACTAAATAAACACTTTTGTGATGGTGTGCCTTATTTTTCTTTCCTGCAGGCTTACATAAAGATCTACCAGGGAGAGGAGCTGCCTCACCCAAAGACCATGCTGCAGGTCAGTAATTGGGAATCTTTTAAGTCATTTCATTTTGATTAGGGTTGTGTTCAATCTTTTTGTCTTTTCATTTTTTGATAGGCAACAGCAGAGGCCAACAACCTGACAGCTGTGGCAGGAGCCAAAGACCTGTACAGCAAGAAAATGGAGCAGGTAAGGACCGGTTTATCTCTTACATTCATCGTGAATGAACTCTAAAAGGTGCCCAAGTCCAGGGAGCAAATTAGGGAATATCACTGCCTGATTAATCGACCTGCGCTTCCTACCTGATAATCATCTGGCATTTTGGGCAATAAGTTTCAGGCTACATTTTCCAGCCTGACAATAGTCCCTGAGACACTGCCAGTGCAGTAAGAGTGTACCTGGATAGAAAAAATCCTCACAGTGAAAAATAAAGTTAACTTAAGTCCATTAGAATTGTACAAACTCTGCTTTTGCCTTATCAGTGCATTTCTATGTACTTTTGACCATGTTTCAGTAAATCACTGCAGCGTCCTTTTTTCTTTTTCTTTTCACAGTGCTGTACTTTGAGTGCTGGTAATTCTGATCGATCTAATTTTCATAGTATCGCAGTCAAGTATTTGCATGGATGCATTAAGTACATGAAAACGATCTTGCTGACTAGTTTTACATGACTGACTTAGGAAAATACAGTAAATATTTTCCTGTGTAAAAGTAATAAGGTACCAACAAACCAACAGAATGACTTAGAATTTCATACTACTTAGGAATAAAAAATTTAGAAGGAAAGACTTTCTCCTGATATCATCTCCCCCTCCCTACAGGTCTGCGGTGGGGACAAGCCTTACGTCGCCCCGGCTGACCTGAAGCGCTGCCACGAGGAGATCCGCGATTACTCTGTGTCTTACTTCCGCTCTGTGAAGAAAATGGGGGGCAAGGAGTTTTGCCAGCGCTACCAGAATCAGCTGGAGTCAGAGCTGGAGGAAACCTACACTAACCTCTCCAAGCAGAACGAAGGCAAAAACATCTTCTACGCAGCACGCACCCCTGCCACGCTTTTCGCTCTCATGTTCATCACCTATGTGGTGTCTGGAGTGACGGGTTTCATCGGCCTGAGCACCTTAGCCACACTGGCTAACCTGGTCATGGGCGTGGCGCTGCTGTCGCTCTGTGCCTGGGGTTACGTGAAGTACTCAGGAGAGTTTCGGGAGGTGGGAACGATTATAGATGAGGTGGCAGAAGCACTCTGGGTGCAGGTGGGTAGATGGTGTGAGAGGAGGGGAAAAAAATGTGTGTGTCTGTCTGTGTGTGACTTCAATAGACTGGCTTGGTTTTCATCTCCTAATTTTTTATGGTGTGTGTGGTTTGTTTGTTTTTTTGTTTTGTTTTTTGATATTGTGGCATTCCTTTAAGTCCAAAAATCAGTAATAGTTCAGTGCCTTTATATACTGAAAACTAGCCAATAAGAAGAAGGAAATCACAGTGCAGAAGCACCAAAGATCAGTTTGATGCAATAGAGGTTTGTCCTTTTTACATTTAAACTGAAACGTACAATTATGAACCTTATCGATGCATGAGTGTTCATCAAGCATAATGATGAGCCAGTCGTAACTCAAGAGATAGATTGACAACCATTTGATCTATTAAACTATATCTCTGTTCACTGCGTCACACAGCAGCAGCAAAGCAACTGTTACTAATGGGAGAAATAACAAGGCTAACAGCGAAGAGTGAGTAGTTTGTTTTTCACAAAGACAACATTTTTGATTTGAGCTTCTTGTTAGACACTTGTCGAAGCGCTTTTTGCTTGTAAAGTAGCCAAAAAAACCCCTTGCAAACTCCAAGAAAGGCTTTTGTGGGGCACTACACTAAAGCAGGGACACATATATATTCTACGTCCACAAACTTCATCATCAGACGGTTAGCACGAGGGTCCGTGCTGACCTCTGCGTGCCTGCTGGTTTTTGTGACCATACGAATGGGCTCTCCCATTGAGAATTTACACATCATCACATTACATTTACATTCTGTCAACCAGGAATGACAAGTATAATCTAGGCTTAAATGTGAGAAACTAGTGAAGGGAAATGACAGTAGCTTGTAGCCTAATCTGATGCTGAGATGAAGTGAGAGTAGTTTGAATAATTCAGGTGAATAATTGGTTATGGTCCATCCTGGGCCAGTTAATTATTATCCTTCTAATAATATCCACAGAGTATAAATCTGATGGATTTGTGTATTTGTTCTTACTGTTTTGTGTATTTAGTTTAAGTTGAAGCTTAATGTAAAAGTCATTAAGTTAACAGCTTATTTTTCTCCAGGTTTATTATATCTGTGCACATCTGGTTTATTTTCTTCCTTCCATGCTTCTCTTCCTCTTTGTCTTCTAGCCTTTTTTTCTGTCCTCTTATCCTGTTATCCTTATATTCACTTCACCTTACAGAACTCCAGTGAAACCCAGCCAGCACATCCTTCATCCTCGTTTTGTTTGCTTTTTTTTTTTTTTTTTTTTTGTGAAAATGTGACTTCTGGATAAAAATCAAAGCTGTAATTTTTTTTTTTTAATGTTTTATCACTGGTTAAACAACCTTCCTGTCTCTGTTTGTGCCTCTCCTGCTGTTTAGAGGATGGTAAGAAAGGTGAGCGATGTTGATTCCAGTTTTTGTCTGCCTGCATCATATCATTTCCTTCTCTGTTCTGATTTTATTTATCATTTTATTTATTTTTCCATCACTTCTTTCCCACGGCCTCTTCCAGTATCAGTGCCTGGTTCTCCTCTGTTTAACTCCCCCGTTCCTCCCTGCTTTCCTCTCAGGTCATTTCCGAACTTTTGGAGCCCGTCAGGAGCTGCCTGGCGTGGCCTATTTCTTTCCTCCCTTCCCTCCCGTCAGAAGCAACACTGGAATTGAAAGCTCTGTCTCCTCTCAACGACAACTACAAGAAGACCAACTAACTGCTGGTCAGCTGGTGGATTTGCAGACTCGTAGACATGTATATCTTGTATCAAAACCTTCAGTTTGCTGGCCTCTTGATTTTTAATTTTCAGTCTGTTGATGCTGGATTTTTGTACTGGGTGTGAGCACGGAGCACGTCTGGGACACGGAGGCTGCACAAACGGTTTATAATTTTATTCTGTGTGGATAGAAACAAAGGTTTTCTTTTTCCTTGGCTTTGTTGTCACGCGTCTTAAGAGTTTTCAGTTGTTTCCCTGGTCAGCACTTTGAAAAATACATCCTTTTTTTGTTTTCGTTCCTTGCTTTTCTTGTGTGCTTTTTTGTTCCTTGCTTTTCTTCCCTAACCTACTTTATTTCAGTTTCTGTCTCCTTTATCGACTATTTGTAACTGATAATCAGTTTGATCATCCGTTCATGCAGATCCTTTTTTTTT